CTCGGGCCTTCTTGCCCCAGGGTGAGCTGGGTAATGCTCCCAGTAGGGTGCATCCCACCTGGCAAACTGTGAGGAGCTTGGCCTCCTTAGTCCGCCCCCCCCCCCTCCCCCCCCCCCCCCCCCCCCCCCCCCCCCCCTCCTCCTCCTCACTTGCAGATTCATTGATGTCACCTTTGAGCTTCTCATGCGCATAAAAAAAACATGTGCCTGCAAAGAAAACAGCCGCCTAGTTCAAAAATGCAATGAAAGTACTGCGGCAGATGGAACTCGGTCATGGACGGCACACGTCTTTTCGTTTTCTTGGTTTGTATTCCTGTTTTCACGTTGGTGTGAAATCGTTCATGTGCAAGGGGGAATGTTTTGGCCACGTGGTGTTGTTGTGTCCTCCCGGCTAGGGGGGGTTACAGATGTGCAAGGAAATGAGCACAGAGCGAATGACAAAAAACTGGATTGCATCATCACATCGAACTGTGGACATCCCGATTGCCCAAGGCCCAGGTAGGCACATTTACGACGTCCGTACTCTGATGTTGGACACATGCCAGGCTTGTGGACTGGACTGAAAAAACATCCACTGCACAGATGCGGGCCAGCAAATATATTTTCCCAGGCCGGTATTCTATTTTCCCTCGGTGCAATGTGGTGGCTTCTTACCGCTGCTAAGCTTTTCTGAACTGCCAGCGGCGCACCTCTTCTTTTTCGACCAGGCTGGCACGGCCAGACTGGCACGGCCAGGCTGGCACCTCTTCTTTTCTGAACTGCCAGACTGGCACAGCCATTGTGGTCCATTAGGCCAAACCATTGCTACAGTGTGGTGCTAACGAGTTGCTTTTTCTGCGAGGCTGGGGGCCTGGGGCCATGTACTGGGGGTTCACATAATCTGTTTGTGTGTGTGTGTGTGTGTGAAGTATTGCGTGAATTTATGGAATTCTGATTTTTTCCCAAATCACAGCAGCTCCAGTCTATTCTGAAGGATCTCAAGCAGCAAACATTTCCCGAGTGACTGCCTGGTTGGCTCCAGTCCTAGATTGTCCCAGTCCCGCTCTTCCTCGAGGTTGAGTCCCAGGTCTAGGTCCTGGGAAGCGGTAAGAAAGACGGAAGTGTCATAGGTCTATAGGGTCCAGTGGTCAGGTCGTTACAAGTCGTAGTCCCGGTGCCCGACAAAAAACGTTTTGAGGACCTGAAGTCCAATTGTGAAATAGCATCCAGGGAAAGTCCGGTAGGTGCTGTGGCAAACTGCAGCCGGCACGCTGCATTGACCGGTACAAGTTTGGAGCCGGCAACGATTCACTTCAGCTGCTATTTATAGTTGCTACAGTGAAGCATTGGGTCACTTGTCAATTCACATGTTGCAGAAGCTCTGCTGTAGCGCTTGTGTGACCAACGGGTCGGACAGTCTAGTTGAGGGCGAAGATGACGGGTTAGATGAAGACAGCGATGGCTACCATAGCTGCGAGGTCGACGTACGAGTAGAGGAGTGTATTCAGGAAGGGAGCGTGAGTGATCCAAGTGTGTGTGTGTGTGTGTGTGTGTGTGTGTGTGTGTGATGATGATGTGTGTGAACACATATTGCGGACACCTCTGCACAGTAAAAACCATGCACCATACCATCGCTACACTTCAGGAGGAGAGTCGAGTCCAAAGGCAAGGAGGGGACAACAACGAAACACATGGGCCACAGACACCAAGACAACACATAGGCTGGAGGGCATGGGGGAGGAGGGAGGGCAGACAGCACACAAGCAACAGACACGGCAGGCACCAAAAAAAAGACCCAAGGGCTGGAGGGCACAAAGGATATTGGACGGCAGACAACAACACGCACACAAGGGAGGCAAATCTGAAAAAAAGTAAAGTCCATAAAAGTTTCAAGGACCGAAAAAAATAAAACTGATGATGAAAGATTGTTTCGTCGGAGTTGCACCGACTCATCAGGAGGCTGAACCCTCGACAATCTGCAGAACCCCGTATTGATGGTTTGGGTCATGCACCCTTTGACCCCTGTTGAAGGCAGACTGTTCCCAAGTGGAACACAGCAGCGGGCAGCAACCCTGCGGAGAACCAGGCAACGCAGTAGAAGCAACCCGGCTGCTCAGCGCCAAAGACGACTGCAAGGAAAGACACGGCACGCAGGACTTGCAGCACGGCAACCAAGCAGTGAAGCGCCATGCAACACCACCAAGACAACCACACTGCAAGGGGTGACAGGGCGAGCGGACACGGAGCAGAGCAACCATGCTGTGAAGCACAAGGCGACACCAACACGGCAAGCGAACTACTCGGCGCGCAGGCAAAGGACACGGAAGGTACGACCAGCGGGAGGGCGACGAGGCAGCGAAGCAGCGAAGCGCAAGGCAACACGACAACCTGGCCACACCACACAGCGAAGACAGCAGCTTGCCAAGAACGACCTGCGAGGCAAGTGGGATGGGCAGCAAGGCAGTGGCGGAGTGCAGACGAGGCCATCCACACATCCAACATGGAGCAAAGCAGCACATCACCTACTCACATCATGGGTGCACCCCACAGACTGTTGGTTCCCACCACCCACTGAGCCAGGGAAGCACATGAGCATTCGTCATCACCTACAGGCAACACAGACATCCCAAACTGAGCGGCACCCATAAGAGTGCAGTAGGCACTCCAAATGAGGACCCACCGACTGTTTGGTACCACTTAAGGGTGCTCAGTTTGGGCAAGCAAAAACACTTTAGAAAAAGATCAGTGCGCGGATAGACAACAACAAGAAAACAGACACATAAAACTGATTGTGTGTGTGTGTGTGTGTGTACGTGTGTGTGCGTGAGAGAGAGAGAGAGAGAGAGAGAGAGAGAGAGAGAGAGAGAAGCTTTTTTTCCCC